AATCCACGAACTTTGCTTCAACCTCACTATGTCCAGGCATCAAATGCACATCAGGCCATCGTATTCGAGGACAGTTAAAATCGCCCATAAGCAGAAAGTGTGGACGACTCATTTGGGTCCGAAGATGGGGCAGCCAATCCAAACAACGACTCAGGGGACTGCGATAAACTGCGCCCACAAGCAGTTCTCCGCGCCTGAGGCGGATGGAGCACCACAGTAGCTCACACAGGCCATCGTCACTTCGGTAAGTGCTCACAAGTCTCCCACGCAGGGAAGACCGGATGTAAAGTAAGACACCACCGTGGGCATTCTTTAGTCTATCGCATCGGAAACACGAGTAACCGTTGAGTTCAAGTTCTTGGGTGTATAACTCTGCGTGCAGCCATGTCTCTGCGAGTCCCACTACGTCTGGCCGCTCAGACGCAACGAAACAACAAAGCTCATCGCGCTTATTCATAATACTGCAAACGTTTGTGAAGGCTACTCGCAGGCCGCAGCAGGAGCCACCGGGCGTGCTTGAAGTGTGAGCAGCCTGTTTATCCTGATTCGCGGATTGTTGGAAACCACCCGAAAATTTACGATACGAAGATTTGTTTCCCCCTCACCAGTGCGTCTTTTCAGCTCAATGATGGCAGACTTGAGCCGCTCCCTGTCTACTGGGTCCAGGTCGGGACGAACATGGATCTTCAAACCTTTCAGCCTACTTAGGCGAGACATGATAAGTCTTGGACTGGCTTCGTCCACAAAAGTGATTCTCATAGGCCGATTTTGTTGATCACCTTGCTTTCCAAGACGGGTAATCTGCCTCACTTTTACCGAGTCCTCACCAGCGTCGAAGAGTCTATCAATTAGACCCTGTAAAAACTCGACATCGTGATCGTAGCGCACTTGGGGTGATGGATCACTGGACTCCGGTGCGTGAAAGATCACGAGATTATAACGCCTCTGGTCGGACGAGGTTGGCCTTGCAGGGCGAAGTATACTACCAGCCTCAAGTGGTTTGGCTAATTGTTGACTTACAGAACGTAAACGCCCAACGTTCCTTCGTAATTTCGTCCTCTGATCTTTCCACTGGTCTTCAGCACTCAGACTTTCACCTGCTGGGACATCAGTGTCCGGTGGACACAACAAAGGTAAACAATTTAGCCCAGGTGCAACTGGGCTTCCCACAACGGTTGGACTTCGTGTCAGTGAGTTTGCACGGGTAGAGGAGGACGACTGAGCCGAAACCTGAAGGCTCTTCGCGCTAGGTTGTTGGGCCAAACACACGGAGCTGTTCGCAACGAAACGCTGAGGACTACACGTCGGCTTTACTCTTTCTGGCTGTATCTGATTTCGGCAATTTTCACATATAGTTTGGAAGAAATCGTGTTGGATCTCGCGAAGGCGATGAAAATGCTCAACTGATAATCCAACACATGAAATATGGTATTTAACTTGGCAAAATGCACACGTGAGGGCATTTGCACGGTATCCGACTAGTTTGGAGCAAGTACCACAGGATGACTGCTTCGGCATTGCGAATAATCCGAAAACAAGATGGCGGCCAATTGACGAAGAAAGTGGCGATAGCAAGATCGCCGAAACCAAACGATGAAATACAAGTATTTCTGGTCGGAAATTTCAGAATCGGAAATGAAACTGAATTGTAGCTCAATTTCCACGAAATACTTCCAATGAACGCAGAAAGTTAACACAAAGTGATCTTGTCAACACAGCCAAAAATAACCGACCGGAGGACGCTATCCGCAGTTGTATATATGAGGAAGAACTCGATACCCTTTGGTCGCCATGAGTGTTTTGTTTAGGTTTCTTCTCGGGTTTTAACCATTTCCGCCTAACCACTAAATGACCCTACAATTATTGTAGTCAACTCCAAGTTATCGTGAGTTTAAGCCGTACAAATCAATTGCACGCAATATATCATCATCATCATCATACACGTTAGCTAGAAGTTGGGAACACCTTAGCTACTGTGCCGCAATACATAGAAAAAAAGGAGAAAAAAAAGAATCCAACCGGGCTGAGCTACCGGTAACGGATGGGCATCGATCCGGTAAGCTACTAGCCGGCTACTATGCATCAAAAAAATTACTATGCAAAACTATATAAGGTTAAACATTGAGATCGTGGTTGGAGGGGGAGGCTAAGAGGGATGGGGTGGGACAAAGAAACTCACAGCACGAACGCCTCTGAGGTCGGCTCCTAGCCATGTCAGCAAGTGTGTCCAACCAAATGTGTTCATCGTCTTTAACTTATGGATGCTTGCCGGCATATTACGGCTGGAAGCGAACACAATGAAACTCGCAAAGAGCTCCGGGCAAAACTCCGTGCTAGCCTGAAGAGAGACCGCGAATCCTGGTGTCACATCGTGCATCAGAGATGGAAATGGCCGCTGTCCTTGGTAACCATCGTAAGTTATTCCGTCTGATACGGGAAACGGGCAGCAGGAGACCTAGTGTTAGCAAAACTATACATGACGTGAGTGGACAGCCTATCCACAACTTATTCAAACGCATAGAGCGTGGGGCTGAGCAATTTAAAAGGCAATTTAATCGGTCGGAATTGTTAAAATTCTCGCCGGCCACTGATCGCCCTACTCCGTGGGCTGTCCCTTTGGATCCACCCTCTCGCTCAGAAGTCGACAGTGAGATCGTACTGTTGAAGTTAAATAAAGCCGCGGGATCAGATGATCTTCTTCCAGCCCTCTTCAAATTCTGGGGACCTGCTATTATGGGGGATTTACATGAGTTACTAGTGAGACTGTGGGAAAGGAAACTGTCCCAACCGATTGGAGCCGCTCCGTCATAGTCACAATTTTCAAAGGAGGCTCACGATCGGAATGCGGCAGCCATAGAGGAATCAGTCTGATGTCCATCGCCTCCAAATTGCTTGCCTCTGTCACCCTTCACAGACTGACTGGCACTCGTGAAAGCCAGATTCGTGAAGAGCAAGCTAGATTTCGTCGATGTCGTGGCTGCATTGACCACATCTTCACCTTGCGTAAGTTGTTGGAGCACCGCCAAATATATTGGCGGCACGTCGTTGTCGTGTTCCTCGATATCAAAGGTGCATTCGATTCGGTGGATAGACCTGCACTTTGGGACGGTCTATTCAGGAAAGGTGTGCCCGAGAAATATGTGAATATTACCCGAACATTATATGCTCGTAGCTCGGGCAGAGTGAGGGCTGTCGTCGCCATTTAATATCTCCAGCGGCATGAGACAAGGATGCCCGCTGTCACCTTTCCTCTTTAACTTCCCTGTTGACGAAGTCATGGAAATCGCGTTTACAGGACACGACTTAGAAGGTGTGGAGCTACTCCCAGGAGAACATCTTCTTGACTTAGAGTATGCTGATGATTTTGCCCCGATCTCTGACAGCTCACAAATGTGCCAAGCGGCACTGGACAGATTAGCCCTAACTGTAAATCACTTCGGGCTTTGCTTCGCACCATCGAAGTGCAAAGCGTTCCTCCAAGATTGGTCTGGACCGCCCTCTACTTTGACCCTTGGTGGGGATCAGCTACAAGTCGTTCAAAAATTCAACTACCTGGGAAGTTGTATCAGCGCCTGTGGGATTGAAGATGAAATCACGATTCGTATAGCAAAAGCTCGGGACGCTTTTGCTAACCTTCGCTAATTATGGCGCCGGCGCGACGTCACTCTTGCCCTGAAGGGTAGAGTGTACAATGCAGCAGTACGTTCGACGCTACTGTAGGGTTGTGAAACATAGCTGCTTAAAGCAGCAGACCTGAAGAGGCTAGTCGCGTTCGACCACCGGTGCTTGGTAATTGAGCTCACACCTGGTGGGAACACCGCGTAAGCAACGAACGTGTCCGACGCCTTGTTTATGGCACAGGAAAAGGAACTGAACCGCTCAGCACCGTCATTTCACGCACCAGGCTACGATGGCTCGGCCACGTGTTACGCATGCCAGCCCACCGACTCCCGCGACGTGCGTTGTTTGCGCGCCAGAGGGTGTGGATGGAAGAAGAGCTGGGTGGCCAAGCCATGACTTGGTCGAGAGAAATGAAGGCCCTCACTTCTGAGCTGGCCTCGGTTAGGGTCCGAAAGACGACGAACACGTTTGCTTGGACACACTTGCTGACAAGGCTAGGAGCCGACCTCAGTGGCGTTCGTGCTGTGAGTTTCTTTGTCCAACCCCTTCCCTCTCAGCCTCAACCTCCAACCACGATCTCATTGTTTAACCTTATATAATTTTGCATAGTAATTTTTTTGATGCATAGTAGCCGGACTGGTCGATAAGGCAGGATAATTCCCAAGTCTTTTGTAGTGATCTTCCTAATGTGTGGATGACCCTAGTGACCACATGCCTTACCTCCTTGATCCTCTATGACTCGCGCCGGGTGATGGGACAGCATACAAGTAAGCCGTACTCTATCATTGGTCGTATTAATGTGATGGAGAAAATATTGGAAATCTCTTCGGACTAATTGCAAAACTCCGTTCTATCGCCCAAGGCACATGACCTCGATGTTTGCATCTCATATTCGTACTACCCTTGCACTTTAGGACGCTTCTTGATAGCAAAGTGAGAACTCTCACAAAATGGACGAGATGATGAAACAGACAGGAATGAGCAATTCTTATTGAGTGTATACAGTCAAGAGCGCAGAACACTTTTTCTGTCATTTGCCTACAATGCACGACGTAGGATAACTATGGACAGAATTAACACAGCTAACCAAATATGCATGACATGAATGTTTGTTTGAACAGTTGTGACATTATCTCGCAAAGTCATCATTTTAGTTAGGTGCGGTCATCAAATCTGTTTTCTTATTCCCTCTCAAGGAGCAGGATGATCTGCGGTCACTAGACAATGATAGCTTTTTGCACAGATTGGAAAGCGCAGTGTACCCAGGTCTACTGAACAATACCTCATTCCAGGAGTCGCAACGTGCTGTCAAATTTGCTGGTGTAGAATCTTCATCCGACTTAATCGTGGCTGACTCTTATCCTGTCATATTTCCGCAGTTTGACCAATGCCGATTTGAGCTTGGGTGCCGCGAGGTCGGAAGTGCATAGACAACGTCGGGTGGAGCATGATCGCAACGGTGCCTTCATATCTCTGTTTCCACCAGTGAAGAATATTCGTTTTCCGACACCGGGGCCCCCAGTGACCGGTTGGGCCCACTTATTCTCCAACCTGGAGGACACCAACGTGCAGTCGACCGTTGTTCCTGAAGAAGCACCGCAAACTGTCTACGTATTTCACAGTAGCAAACAGAGGGACTCTTCATCTCATGTTGACAATAAACTGCCATCGGTAACGGCAACAATATTTCATCCCATTCCGTACACCGAACCGTTCCGATGGCAATTCGGTCAAGAAGATCTAGCCACTACGTTTCCATCATCAGTTTTGGTTCCTCGACGCCAATCACAAAATGGACCGAAAACAAGACAGATGTCAGGCCCAAGTAGCGTGGGCGCCAAAAAATTACCTCATATCAACGAACGTGAGTTATCTACTTGTCTTGATTATTCGTCGATCTCGTCTATCTTTGTCCAGTTGCTGTGCATCATAACATGTGGGTTTTGTGTGAAACAAGTTTGCTAACACTCGCAAGCGTGCTGAATGTCGGATGAGCAACTTTGGATTTTGAGGTTTCACCAAAATGCAACAGTTTGATTACTGGTTGATTTGTAACTTGTCAATTCCATGAAACGCAATTCCACAACTTCCACCTAAATTACACACCGATGCTATCCACATTCGAAACCATTTTAAAATTTTCCAAATTACCATGCACAACTTCCGCACTTTGCTTTCTAGCCATTTCGCTAGGCAACCTCAATGCTGTCGCAAGTACGCCTTCGTACACGTCGAATGATAAATAGGAGAATATTCATAGCGACTAGGTATATAACACAATCGCACCAAATAAATGCCCATACAACACTTCCGAACATTGTTTTCGGCTATAAAACTTAGAATGTCTGAGCGCATTGATTGATTACCTATTTGTTTCTTGTGGTCTACGGGGCAATCCATGTGTACAACATGCGCGAGTGGCGAATTCCCGGTCACCGTAATTTGTACAGCAGAAAATCAGCAGCAGAAACTGCTCACACGATAAAAGTAAGTTTCGCCTACATGGACCTTCTCGTATATTCGGCTTTGAAGTTGTCTATGGTTTTACTGTAGTCCATAGACAAAAGCAAGTAGGATGTTATGTTTATAAAGCGATTTCCAATACCGCTCTATTACTACTCAGCCAGATCAGCTAAGAGCATCCAAAAACAAGTCATATTTGCCACAGGATACACTGCTGAAACAAAAACGACGATCAATAAGGAGCAATGGAAAAGGAAAATCCAAGACGACACCCAGCCCTTGAACCAAATAAATGCATCTCCGCAGCGTATATAAGTATTCATTAATTAACAAAAAGAAACAATGTGATGAATAGCCTGTCCATGCGACTTCGGAGGATCAACAGTGTTTCTAGTTGCCGACACCCTTTAATATATTTTGAAATCGATGCATAGATAGGATTCGTATTGGAAGTATAATATTTAACCTGGATAACTTCACCAGTAATCCGCCCATGGCAAACGGCCGTTCAGCGTGGAGAGACGGACATGGTAGAGCTCACCTTCGAATACAATCCCGCTGTAATTGCTCAGGCGATCAGGACGTGATCAAACTTTTCGCTTATTCCCCGGCAACAACGAAAACATACTTGCAGGGTCTAGGTTTTATACATCCTAATGCACCTATCTCCGTCATGTTTGCTCCCGTGTTTCATCTGCTTTATATGTGAGAGTACAGTTAAATTAAATTTAAGTTAAATTAAATTTATGTAATTTTAATTTAATTTAATTTAAACAATAAGTATATGGTTTATTCCTTGTCATCCCAATCGTCTTTATTTTTGATTTGATATGCGATTTTCTAGATCCACTTGTGATCAAGTTTCTATAAAGTATGCCATACTTGCTCATGCCGATATGGGCGTGTAACAGCTTTGAAAGTAAAAATTTATTTATTTTATTAATGTCATGAAAGCTATCATTTATCAGTACAGACAATATCGAATCGCATAAGAACACGCAGACTGTTCTAGCGCTCCTAAAATCTTTTCGCCTTTACAACTATTTATTTCGACCGCTTGAGTCTAGCGGAGCTGACGCCGAATCACATTTTTCAAACTATTTTGTAAAAATTAACGCATCACAGTAAAAGGTAACCATTAGTAGCTAAACAAATAAATCCCTGGGTTTCGTCAGCATTTTTAAGACATTCTTGGCAGAAATTTGAAAAAAAGTTGTAAAAAGTGACATTGCAATCTAAGCAAAAGTAAGATGCGTAAACACATCTAACTAAAAAGCCGATTTTGATTCATGTATACATTTAGAATAATAATAGCATTTTATGGCATTTGATTTGCGAAAATTCAGAGGCCCCACACATCTGAATTCTATGGTTGAATGTACCGAAAGTGCTACGCGTAACGCAGTTTGAAAAGCACTGCGCCAACTGATCTAGACTTGCAATAGCTGTACAACAATAAAAACACCGGTTTATTGGGAGAATAAAATCGTCGTTTGCTATGTAAATTGATAGATGCTCAACTGGCCACATAAAATGCAACATATCGGTTCCCGCATTCTTGCGATCTAGCGGTAAGAACAGCTTAAGAGTTCATTCCTGAAACTAGTAAAGAAATGCAGTTAGTTGCAATGCCATAGAAGTTTCTTTGTCCTATCCTGTAATCTCCAATTAGCGTGGGTTGTTTCTACCAACAATGATTTCAAGCGTATTATTATAAAACTTGATCACTGCCCCTGCAGAGGGAAAGAAGGGCAAAGCACGTTCAAACCGATAACAAAGCTACTCCCAGTAACATTGTTAGCCACCAAACGAATATGGAAGCCAAAGACTAACCGAATGTTGACTTAGACGCAATCCAGTGCGAGTGCGGTTCTAAAGTTTTAGGTTCAGATTGCTTCGACTTCGAATTTAGCTTTGTAGAATGCTTGTAAATCCACTTGTCACAGGTATCCTCAGACAAACACAAATAATCTGGGCAATGTAATAGATTAGGTTAAATCCTCTGCGACCACAGGAAACAGTGAAGTCCCTTCTAGTACTCGAACAGAAGTTAACTCACTTCTCATTGATTACGGGCAAGATGACAACGCAGAGCAACTTATGAGCTATAATCAAGAGATCACGCTTAAACAACAATGTAAACTGAGGGTAACTCAGAAGCAAAACAAAACTACACAGTCACTTATTTGGAACACTGCTCTTTACCAGAGGGGTCATGTGATCGATATTAACCAGACCAGCAATCCAGTGCAACTGAGATGTCTTACGAGGAATACACAACATAGCAGCTGAAAAAATATTTCCTCTAACGTTAGACATCAAGATCCGATTACTAGCAAAACACTACTCTACCTCCCATCTGAAAACTTGGGACAGCCCTTTACCAGTACCCTGCAAGGATTAGAGGATCTTGATTCTATCGCCGAGTTCATCTACCGCCCCCAGCTACTGCACCCACAAACATTTTAAACCCAAAATGTTCTCTTCATCAAGTGTTGAGTACCCTAGAGCCGCAGTGTGTCACCAAACTACTAGTTAATTTAAACAAACCACAGAATGTTTGCCCGCAACGGGTGAAGGACCTAACCTCACTCCAAATACAGACCATGACCCAACCAACACATGTCAATTACTGCAAACCCCCGACGACACCCCCGTTCGAGAAGACATCGGTCAATAACACTGTGCCACCTTTAGATATAGTAGACCTCATGTCACCCTGCGAATCCCTAGGTATGAAGGATTCACCACCATACCTGAGAGATGCCTCTCCGTGCGCGGATCAAACCAGGTGGGTGAAAACTCCATAAGAAGATTTCAGCTCCAACAAGACACTACAAGTTTACTCCCATATTCTCTAGTTGAGAACACATTTTTACCTTGACCGCATCTATCTAAAGATCTTGTTTTTAAATCCCACGTCCCATCCTTCAGCACCGCTGGCCTCTTATCACAAGAAAGTTCTAGAGTAATGGAGCGTCGCTTAATAAATATAATACATAAACCTATGGCTTACGCCTTTTATGGTGGTATACACAAAATACCGATTAGTATTGCCCGTTCTCCAGTACATAAAATGCACTTGCTCCGCTGCTTCGTCGCTCTTCATCAACCGCATATCATTCTTGGTACCGAATCGTGTTGGACGTGTGAGACTGGAGACCATAATATTCCTACCCAAGGTTACTAATTCTTTCGAGAGGACCGACGTCATGGTAGGGGAAGTGGTTGCATCTTTTAATGTATGAACAACTTCTGTGCTTCCCAATGTAGTGACGAGCAATTCTCATCACACGGTGAGTCTATTTGGATAAGGGTATCTTTGGGTAATAATAGAAGATTGGTGGGTTGTGTTTATTTACCGCCGTCCTCTAGTGCCCTTGAAAACGGATTGCTTCAGAATGGGCTGAGGCATGCCTCTGCATTTCCTATTCGCTTTAAGGTAGTTGGAGGAGATTTCAAATGAACAAAGATTTCATGTATCGAGTGCAAATGTACAGGAAAGCAAGCTAACATCTTGAATTTGCCAGCCTGACGGATGATGGACACACGGTTGCATAACGCACTTGACCTCAGATGCATTGCTGGACCAATAGTTGCTGTTATCGACGTACTGGATTGTCTACACGGTACTGACCATAATGTTGTTAATTGCAAAATGAACATTACATTTACACCTAAAACCTCGTCTGGACACATGTTTAATTTTGGTAGAATAAACTGATAAAACTTTACTACACTTGTGCATACGTCTGACTGGACCGATTTCTCCCTGTCTTCTAACCCAAAATGTCATTTCAAGCATTTTATGCTTACATAAATCAATGCGTCGAAATACTGTCGCCTGCCCTAACACGCATTCGAAATAAGCCAACAACGTAAGATTAAAGTTCTTTCTAAACAGTTTCTACAGACTAATGACTACATTTCGTTTAGGACTTCCCAGAATGCTGACAGAAAATGAAAGCATGAGAATTCTTCGTCTCAAAAAGGTAGAGAGTGAAATCATGAAAAGTGCTAATCCAGTACCTGAAATAATTGATTACTATAAAAGCAGAGTCTCGCACTACGAAACCCACCGTTACATCTTATCACGCCTGAGAGTTTCTTCATCGATACTCCAGTAGCGGTAGCTGAAGCTTTTAATCACTATCTTGCCGATTCCTTTACCAATTATAATGAAATCCTTTGAGATCACTCCACACGGTACTGTGGGCCATGTATCACTCACGTGGATTTCGACACTGGTTCAAACACGCGTCAAATTAACGCTTTATGGACTACATGTCATCCTCTTCCAGATGGAATCCCGCCAGTACTTTCTAAGTCCGGTGGGATTGGTGTCCTCTGCTTACTACTGAACTTGTTGACTACATCAATGAAAATTGGGTTTTCTCTCGA